CCATGCAACCTCTGAAGAGACAACTAACACAACACCTATACCCCCTATTAGACTATTTTACAGGAACTTCTTTTCCACAGCTCATAAAACGGAGGAAAGGGTCCTGAAAGATATTGTTAATAGAAACGTTATCCCTACAGACAAAAATCAGAGGATACAACTGACGATTTACTATAAAACCAGAAAAACGGCCAGCCTACTCATGAGAAACTCTCCAGACACAAAACAGAACGCTTTAAAAGAGACTAATGTCGTCTATGCCTTCAAATGCCCACTTGGGGACTGTAAGCTCCAAAAAACCCAGTATATAGGCAAGACAACAACATCTCTTTCTAGGCGTTTAACGATGCATAAGCAACAGGGCTCCATTAAGGAACATATAATCTCTTCCCATAACCAAACCATCGCCAGAGAAATCCTAGTAAACAACACAGAAATCATCGATAGATACAGCGATAGCAGGCGGCTTGACGTTTGCGAGGCACTACACATCAAGAAGTCAACACCAGCAATCAACAGCCAATTATTGCACAACTATATTCTACCCACCTCAAGACTCCGCTCCAATATAGAAGCATCAAGAAATATGGACCAATAGGCTTTCTACAAACACTTCTATTCAATACCCATTGTTTCTGTTCTGTCTTGTGTTGATACTTTTAATACCCTATTAATATCCCCTCCTGTTCTGTCTTGTGTTAATGCCACATCACCCTTCCCACCTCACTCAAATGTAAATATAAAATCAGAGATACGTTCTAATCAGTTGTGTATTTGTGAAGTCTTTGAAAATGTAATAAGTTTTACGAAACGCGCCCGTGTCGCGTCAGACTAGAAATAAAAATGAATTTTGGAGAAGTGATTTTTGATTTACCTCCAACAGTGAAGCGTAATGTACGAAAGATTGAGAAAATTCGTGTTAGAATTATTAATCTTACTTTTTCGGTCATATTAATAATATATATATATATATATATATATATATATATATATATATATATATATATATATATACATATTATCAAATATGACCGAAAAAGTAAGATTAATAATTCTAACACGAACTTTCTCAATCTTTCGTACATTTCTTTTCACTGTTGGAGGTAATTCAAAAATCAATTCTCCAAAATTCATTTTTATTTCTAGTCTGACGCGACACGAGCGCGTTTCGTAAAATTTATTACATTTTCAAAGACTTTAGTTTACAAATACACAACTGAATAGAACTTACACATCTTCGATTTTTGTTTATATCTACATTTGAGTGAGGTGGATGGGGTGAGGTGGCATTAATAAGGTATTAATTTCATCAACACAAGACAGAACACGAAACAATGGGTATTGAAATGGAAGTGATTGTAGAAAGCCTATTGGTCCATATTTCTTGATGCTTCTATATTGGAGCGGAGTCTTGAGGTGGGTAGAATATAGTTGTGCATTAACTGGCTGTTGATTGCTGGTGTTGACTTCTTGATGTGTAGTGCCTCGCAGACGTCAAGCCGCCTGCTATCGCTGTATCTATCGATGATTTCTGTTGTTTACTAGGATTTCTCTGGCGATGGTTTGGTTGTGGGAAGAGATTATATGTTCCTTAATGGAGCCCTGTTGCTTATGCATCGTTAAACGCCTAGAAAGAGATGTTGTTGTCTTGCCTATATACTGGGTTTTTTGGAGCTTACAGTCCCCAAGAGGGCATTTGAAGGCATAGACGACGTTAGTCTCTTTTAAAGCGTTCTGTTTTGTGTCTGGAGAGTTTCTCATGAGTAGGCTGGCCGTTTTTCTGGTTTTATAGTAAATCGTCAGTTGTATCTTCTGATTTTTGTCTGTAGGGATAACGTTTTATTAACAATATCTTTCAGGACCCTTTCCTCCGTTTTATGAGCTGTGGAAAAGAAGTTCCTGTAAAATAGTGTAATAGGGGGTATAGGTGTTGTGTTAGTTGTCTCTTCAGAGGTTGTATGGCGTTTCACTTTCCTTCTTATGTTTTCTTATGCCAAGTTTTCCTGAATTAATATATTTTCTCAAATTTTTTTCTTATGAAAAGATAAAGCTACCCATTTCATTATGTATGAGGTCAATTTTTTTTATTGTAGTTAAAATTAACGTAGATATATGACCGAACCTAACCAACCCTACCTAACCTAACCTAACCTATCTTTATAGGTTAGGTAGCCAAAAAAGTTAGGTTAGGTTAGATTAGGTAGGTTAGGTCGTCGAAAAACAATTAATTCATGTAAACTTGGCTTATTAGGCAAATCGGGCCTTGCATAGTAGGCTGAGAAGTGCGTTCTGGCTACTAGGTACGACATATATATATATATATATATATATATATATATATATATATATATATATATATATATATATATATATATATATATATATATATATATATATATATATATATATATATATATATATATATATATATATATATATATATATATATATATATATATATCATTAACTATAGCCAACAGTAACCACAACCAACAACAACCACAACCCAGAACAACCACAACCCACAAGAACCACAACCCACAACAACCACATCCAACAACAACCACAACCACAACCCAGATCAACCACAACCCACAACAACCACAACCACAACCCAGATCAACCACAACCCACAACAACCACAACCACAACCCAGATCAACCACAACCCACAACAACCACAACCACAACCCAGATCAACCACAACCCACAACAACCACAACCACAACCCAGATCAACCACAACCCACAACAACCACAACCACAACCCAGATCAACCACAACCCGCAACAACCACAACCACAACCCAGATCAACCACAACCCGCAACAACCACAACCACAACCCAGATCAACCAAAACCCACAACAACCACAACCACAATTCAGATCAACCACAACAACCACAACCACAACCCAGATCAACCACAACCCACCACAACCACAACCCAGATCAACCACATCCCACAACAACCACAACCACAACCCAGATCAACCACAACCCACCACAACCACAACCCAGATCAACCACAACCCGCAACAACCACAACCACAACCCAGATCAACCACAACCCACCACAACCACAACCCAGATCAACCACAACCCGCAACAACCACAACCACAACCCAGATCAACCACAACCCGCAACAACCACAACCACAACCCAGATCAACCAAAACCCACAACAACCACAACCACAACCCAGATCAACCACAACAACCACAACCACAACCCAGATCAACCACAACCCACCACAACCACAACCCAGATCAACCACATCCCACAACAACCACAACCCACAATAACCACAACCAACAATAACCAACAACCCACAACCACAACCCACAACAACCACAACCCACAATAACCACAACCAACAATAACCAACAACCCACAACCACATCCCACAACAACCACAACCCACAATAACCACAACCAACAATAACCAACAACCCACAACCACAACCCACAACTACCACAACCCACAATAACAACCCGGTCTCTCACCAACATGTGGGACAACCTCCCACTTGGCTGACGTTGAGAATTAAGGTTACTGGGATACAGTAAACCTGATCACAGGCGCGGTTCATTAGTTTAGAATTACAGGAAATATTTTGTAACCGGAGACCATGGTTTACTCGCCTAGTTGTGCTTGCAGAGGGTTGAACTTTGGCTCTGTGGACCCGCCTCTCAAACCGTCCGTCTACTGGAGTACATGTTCTTGAGCTTATTGTGCTCTATCGTATATACATATGAAGCTGTGTATGGAGTCACCCTCCACCACATCACATCCTAATGTATTCCATTTGTTTACTACTCTGACACTGAAAAAGTTTTTTGTAATGTCTCTGTGGCTCTTTTGGGTACTCAGCTTTAACCTGTGTTCCCTTATTCGTGCTCCACACATGCTGATTGATAATGAGGTCGCAGTTAAATCGTCAGGCTGCTATTGTGGGGAGGATACTGCTTGACAGTGTTTATGAGGATCTCTAGCTGCTGGGCAGTATTTATGAGGGTCTCCAACTGCTGGACACCTTTTTTGACCAGAAGAGTGGCAGTGTTGATGGCTTCAGAGTGGTTACTGTGAGAGTTAGTAACTCTTAAAGCTCTTCTAAGGTCGTTGGTTGCTTCACATTCCAGGAGATAGTGAAGCAGTGGCTTTTCTGTGATTGTTTGGTGGAAGATGCATTCCCTCTGTCGGGGTTCACCAATCTCCCAGTTGCATCTGTAACCTAGACGAAGTTTAAATAACCGAACTGCTGTTTCCTTGTGGATTCCTTTTGGGATATTTAACCTGTTTAACTTGGTGGCCTGAAGATACCATACTGCAGAGGGCAAACCTTCTGCTACTCTCTGGTGTAGATGGGCTTTGTTGAGGTGTGAGAGGTTCTCATTTAATGGGATTCCAACAGGGATGGGATTCAGTTTAGGGTTATGTTGAGTCTTTTGCCTTTAGCGACTGCTCCAAGATACAAAATGGTGGTAAATATTTTCACGTTGTCTTTCCACTGCTTTTCCCCTAATATTTGAAGTGCAGCTTTTGAGTCTGTGTGTATGATTGCATTTTGAGTGTTTTGTGGAATCTGTCGTACGGCAAACAGCTCAGTTTGGGTTGATGATACTGGTCCTCCCAATCTGCAATAGGCCTGTTCACTGTCCGTACGAAGAGCAGCGCCAGCACTCTCATATTCTGTGTCCACTCTGTGTTACTTCTGTGAGTGAACCTATCGTGTAGTTCTGTCGTTAACCACCACCACATCTCTGGTAATTACTATGCACGAATGTTTGTAATAGGTACAATTATACCAGTGGTGATAACAGCGATTATTCACCATAATGTTCCACTTTTCTATGGCAGAAATCTTGCTCCTGGTTCGAGGGACGCCTTTTGGTGATTATAGGATCCGAGTAATCTTCACTGTGGCTCATCAATTCATCACATATTTCGTCTTACCGTATGTCCATAAATTTACTAAAAATTTAATATTAACTATAAATAAATCATTTGTACATATAATTTTTTTTCTTATTATTGTCCATGGATGTATTGTCCAATGATGTATAGTGAAAGGATGTATTGGCCAAGGATGTATTGGCCAAGGATGTATAGTCAAAGGATGTATTGTCCAAGGATGTATTGGCCAAGGATGTATAGTCAAAGGATGTATTGTCCAAGGATGTTTTGGCCAAGGATGTATTGTCCAAGGATGTATTGTCCAAGGATGTTTTGGCCAAGGATGTATTGTCCAAGGATGTATTGTCCAAGGATGTATTGGCCAAGGATGTATAGTCAAACAATATATTGTCCAAGGATGTATTGGCCAAAGATGTATAGTCAAAGGATGTATTGTCCAAGGATGTATTGGCCAAGGATGTATAGTCAAAGGATGTATTGTCCAAGGATGTTTTGGCCAAGGATGTATTGTCCAAGGATGTATTGGCCAAGGATGTATAGTCAAACAATATATTGTCCAAGGATGTATTGGCCAAAGATGTATAGTCAAAGGATGTATTGTCCAAGGATGTATTGGCCAAGGATGTATTGTCCAAGGATGTATTGTCCAAGGATGTATTGTCCAAGGATGTATTGGCCAAGGTATAGTCAAACAATATATTGTCCAAGGATGTATTGGCCAAAGATGTATAGTCAAAGGATGTATTGTCCAAGGATGTATTGTCCAAGGATGTATTGTCCAAGGATGTATTGTCCAAGGATGTATTGTCCAAGGATGTATTGTCCAAGGATGTATTGTCCAAGGATGTATTGTCCAAGGATGTATTGTCCAAGGATGTATTGTCCAAGGATGTATTGGCCAAGGATGTATAGTCAAACAATATATTGTCCAAGGATGTATTGGCCAAAGATGTATAGTCAAAGGATGTATTGCCCAAGGATGTATTGGCCAAGGATGTATAGTCAAAGGATGTATTGTCCAAGGATGTTTTGGCCAAGGATGTATTGTCCAAGGATGTATTGTCCAAGGATGTATTGGCCAAGGATGTATAGTCAAACAATATATTGTCCAAGGATGTATTGGCCAAAGATGTATAGTCAAAGGATGTATTGTCCAAGGATGTATTGGCCAAGGATGTATTGTCCAAGGATGTATTGTCCAAGGATGTATTGTCCAAGGATGTATTGGCCAAGGTATAGTCAAACAATATATTGTCCAAGGATGTATTGGCCAAAGATGTATAGTCAAAGGATGTATTGGCCAAGGATGTATTGTCCAAGGATGTATTGTCCAAGGATGTATTGTCCAAGGATGTATTGTCCAAGGATGTATTGGCCAAGGATGTATTGTCCAAGGATGTATTGGACAAATTTGTTGGGTAAGCTTTGGGACGCAGTTACTTTTCATATTTTGTAATAGTTACTAATCCTTATCCTGACCCCTTCCCAGTGGTTGGGCACCATTCCTTCCCCCCATCCCATCCCTAATCCTTATCCTGACCCGTTCCCAGTGGTTGGGCACCATTCCTTCCCCCCGTCCCATCCCTAATCCTTATCCTGACCCCTTCCCAGTGGTTGGGCACCATTCCTTCCCCCCGTCCCATCCCTAATCCTTATCCTGACCCCCTTCCCAGTGGTTGGGCACCATTCCTTCCCCCCGTCCCATCCCTAATCCTTATCCTGACCCGTTCCCAGTGGTTGGGCACCATTCCTTCCCCCCGTCCCATCCCTAATCCTTATCCTGACCCCTTCCCAGTGGTTGGGCACCATTCCTTCCCCCCGTCCCATCCCTAATCCTTATCCTGACCCCTTCCCAGTGGTTGGGCACCATTCCTTCCCCCCGTCCCATCCCTAATCCTTATCCTGACCCCTTCCCAGTGGTTGGGCACCATTCCTTCCCCCCGTCCCATCCCTAATCCTTATCCTGATCCCTTCCCAGAACTATATAGTCGTAATGGCTTGGTGCTTTCTCATGATAGTTCCCTTCTTTTTTTTCCTACATTAAATGTTCAACAATCAACTGCCCTCTTACAAAGAACGTCGCTTTTCGGTCGTATATGCGTTACATACGGCCAAAAATGGTCGTACTAAAAATGGAAGCGGCTGGTCGAAAGTGACGCACTGTCCCGTTTTTTGTTTTGGGTCCTCTGGTAGGTGAGGAGAGACCACTTTAAATTGACCGTTTTTGTCTAAAATTTTGCCTAAATTTGGTTTTAAGGCGTTAGGAGGAGGGGTAGGGGTAGTCTAAGGCTGGTGAATATGGCGCCTACAGGCTGACGGAGAGAGGATGTCCACCTAGTGTGTTTACACTGGTCTAGAGGGTATACAACGAGAGACATGAGTGGATGATGGTGCAGGGTCGCATCCAATTGGCAGGCGACTTGGAATTACGTCACCAGTGAGCTCCAATATGGGACGTCGGATTGGCGCGCTGGGTCAGTGACGCCGTGAGCTTCGTCGGATGTGGAGTTGTGCGTCGACGCTCTAAGGTTCATTGCCAAATTCGCATTTGTGTGACAAGTTGGACTTACTAAGAGGAGGCAAGAGTACTTCCCCACGACCAAAGGAACAGCTGGTAACCTTTGGACGTGCAGAATGACTGCTGTAGTGAGGCTACAATGGGGAAATACAACCTCCTGAGTAAATACAACAACCCCCTGGGGAAATACAACCCACCCCGGATAATATAACACCCCCTGGGGGTGGAATACATCATACAAGGAACCAGGCCAGACATCATACACCATCATGCAAGCATTCATATATAAAACATTATCCCCCACTCGCTCTCTAAGTCGTCATTCCCATCTAGAAACACCGGGAAAATGAGCCTTACCGCCGCACTAGAGACAGGCCGTTGTGGTTGACGGAGCTCAAAGACTAAAGTCTTAAGGAAAAGTTTACCAGTGAAAAGTTTCTTAATGTTGTAAGTTCTGGAAGAAATTAGTAAGATTTTACAAGCTTACGAGACGTGTGTGTAGCCGGCCTGAACCAAGGGCTTAATAGATCGCATTTTGGCCGTAATCGTTTAAACAAATATTCGACCCATTTTCTATTATTGCACTGTAATGTTGACGTTTTCTATGTCTTGGCATTGATAGCTTCGAGGGGGGACCTCTTCATATGAGGGACATGACCGCTTTATCAGTATCTCGTTACTATATCCCTTTGTTTACTGTTACTAACTTTACCACCAGTAATATATATTTTGTGTAGACAGTTTACGTGGCAATTTGGCGACGTGGTTTGGTGGTTCACGGTGGTTCACAGTGGTTCACAGTGGTTCACGGTGGTTTACAGTGGTCCACAGTGGTTCACAGTGGTTCACAGTGGTTCACGGTGGTTTACAGTGGTCCACAGTGGTTCACGGTGGTCCACAGTGGTTCACAGTGGTCCACAGTGGTTCACGGTGGTCCACAGTGGTTCACGGTGGTTCACAGTGGTTCACGGTGTTTCACAGTGGTTCACAGTGGTTTATGGTGGTTCACAGTGGTTCACGGTGGTTTACAGTGGTCCACAGTGGTTCACAGTGGTTCACAGTGGTTCACGGTGGTTTACAGTGGTCCACAGTGGTTCACGGTGATTCACAGTGGTTCACGGTGGTCCACAGTGGTTCACAGTGGTCCACAGTGGTTCACGGTGGTCCACAGTGGTTCACGGTGGTTCACAGTGGTTCACGGTGGTCCACAGTGGTTCACGGTGGTCCACAGTGGTTCACGGTGGTTCACAGTGGTTCACAGTGGTTCACGGTGGTTTACAGTGGTCCACAGTGGTTCACGGTGGTCCACAGTGGTTCACGGTGGTCCACAGTGGTTCACAGTGGTCCACAGTGGTTCACGGTGGTCCACAGTGGTTCACGGTGGTTCACAGTGGTTCACGGTGGTCCACAGTGGTTCACGGTGGTCCACAGTGGTTCACGGTGGTTCACAGTGGTTCACGGTGGTTTACAGTGGTCCACAGTGGTTCACAGTGGTCCACAGTGGTTCACGGTGGTCCACAGTGGTTCACGGTGGTTCACAGTGGTTCACAGTGGTTCACGGTGGTTTACAGTGGTCCACAGTGGTTCACGGTGATTCACAGTGGTTCACTGGTTCACGGTGGTCCACAGTGGTTCACGGTGGTTCACAGTGGTTCATTGTGGTTCACGGTGGTTTACAGTGGTCCACAGTGGTTCACGGTGATTCACAGTGGTTCACTGGTTCACGGTGGTCCACAGTGGTTCACGGTGGTTCACAGTGGTTCACGGTGGTCCACAGTGGTTCACGGTGGTCCACAGTGATTCACGCTGGTTCACAGTGGTTTATGGTGGTTCACGGTGGTTTATGGTGGTTCACAGTGGTTCACGGTGGTTTACAGTGGTCCACAGTGGTTCACGGTGATTCACAGTGGTTCACTGGTTCACGGTGGTCCACAGTGGTTCACGGTGGTTCACAGTGGTTCACGGTGTTTCACAGTGGTTCACGGTGGTCCACAGTGATTCACGCTGGTTTATGGTGGTTCACGGTGGTTTATGGTGGTTCACAGTGGTTTATGGTGGTTCACAGTGGTTCACGGTAGTTCACAGTGGTTCACAGTGGTTCACAGTGGTCCACAGTGGCTCACAGTGCTTCACGGTGGTCCACAGTGGTTCACAGTGGTTCACAGTGGTTCACGGTGGTCCACAGTGGTTCACAGTGGTCCACAGTGGCTCACAGTGCTTCACGGTGGTCCACAGTGGTTCACAGTGGTTCACAGTGGTTCACGGTGGTCCACAGTGGTTCACAGTGGTTCACAGTGGTTCACGGTGGTCCACAGTGGTTCACAGTGGTTCACAGTGGTCCACAGTGGTTCACAGTGGTTCACGGTAGTTCACAGTGGTTCACAGTGGTCCACAGTGGCTCACAGTGCTTCACGGTGGTCCACAGTGGTTCACAGTGGTTCACAGTGGTTCACGGTGGTTCACAGTGGTTCACAGTGGTTCACAGTGGTTCACGGTGGTCCACAGTGGTTCACAGTGGTTCACAGTGGTCCACAGAGGTTCACAGTGGTTCACGGTAGTTCACAGTGGTTCACAGTGGTTCACAGTCGTCCACAGTGGCTCACAGTGCTTCACGGTGGTCCACAGTGGTTCACAGTGGTTCACAGTGGTTCACGGTGGTTCACAGTGGTTCACAGTGGTTCACAGTGGTCCACAGTGGTTCACGGTAGTTTATGGTGGTTCACAGTGGTTCCCGGTGGGCCACAGTGGTTCACAGTGGTCCACAGTGGTTCACGGTGACGATGTGGAGATTTCGTTTCATGAGTGGAACCGGTGATTTGTTCCCACCTTGATCAGTTCTGCGGTCAACGTTGGTGATGAGACAGACCTGTCCTCTTGACCGCGGGGTATAGCTCTATACTGACAGGTTGATGGGGGAGGGGGGTTATGGGGCCGCCATTGGGGGGTATTGGTTGCATATATATTGAGTTGTCAGCACTGTAGATGGATGGGCTGAACCCTGGTATATTCTGCAGATATATTTTGGTGATATATTCGTGGTGTGCGGACGGCTGAGTGGACAGCGCTCGGGATTCGTAGACCTGAGGTTCCGGGTTCTCTTTCCGGCGGAGGCGGAAACAAATGGGTAGAGTTTGTTTCAGCCTGATGATCCTGTTCACTTAGCCGTAAATAGGTACTTGGGACTTAGACAGCTGCTACGAGATGCTTCCTGGGGGTGTGTAACAAATTGGAGGCCTGGTCGAGGACCGGGCCGCAGGGACGCTAAGCTCCGAAATTATCACAAGATAACCTCAAGATAACGTCTAGATAACCTCAAGATAACCTCTAGATAACCTCAAGATAATCTCTAGATAACCTCAAGATAACATCAAGATAACCTCAAGATAACCTCTAGATAACCTCAAGATAACCTCAAGATAACCTCAAGATAACCTCTAGATAACCTCAAGATAACCTCAAGATAACATCAAGATAACCTCAAGATAACATCAAGATAACCTCAAGATAACATGAAGAAGAAGATAACACATTGGAGAGGCTTCGTGGGGCAAGCTACAGGAAGTCTTAGCCTGGAGGTTCACTGTTGAGCCAAGCTACAGGAAGACTCAGCCTAGAGGTTCACTGTTGAGCCAAGCTACAGGAAGTCTTAGCCTGGAGGTTCACTGTTGAGCCAAGCTACAGGAAGTCTTAGCCTGGAGGTTCACTGTTGAGCCAAGCTACAGGAAGTCTTAGCCTGGAGGTTCAGTGTTGAGCCAAGCTACAGGAAGACTCAGCCTAGAGGTTCACTGTTGAGCCAAGCTACAGGAAGTCTTAGCCTGGAGGTTCACTGTTGAGCCAAGCTACAGGAAGTCTTAGCCTGGAGGTTCAGTGTTGAGCCAAGCTACAGGAAGACTCAGCCTAGAGGTTCACTGTTGAGCCAAGCTACAGGAAGTCTTAGCCTGGAGGTTCACTGTTGAGCCAAGCTACAGGAAGTCTTAGCCTGGAGGTTCACTGTTGAGCCAAGCTACAGGAAGTCTTAGCCTGGAGGTTCACTGTTGAGCCAAGCTACAGGAAGTCTTAGCCTGGAGGTTCACTGTTGAGCCAAGCTACAGGAGGCAGGACACCACTCCTGGAGTTTCTTCTTGAGGGTAACTCTTGAGGACTGACCACAGACGTCAGTAGTGTAAACCGGGCCTACGAGGGGCCGTCGAAAAAAGCAAAACGGCCCCTCGTAGGCCCGGTTTACACTACTGACGTCTACCATCAACCAACTGGTGCAGGAACATGTGTGAACGTTCACAGTGAATTATATTATATTTCCCTGAATAATACCTTCTTATATAACACTGCTTCTCTTATACCCGTTCTCACAGCTATAAGAGAAGCGTCATCAATGTATATGTTAGTCGTGCAATACGTGCATGTTCTTCTAGGCAGCTCTTGCAACACTAACTTGAAAAGGTCCGTCATATTGTTGTCAACAATGATTACAGCAATACGGAATTGGATGAAATCGTCAGTAAGGAGCTACAAGCCGCCACCTGACTGTGGGTAATTAGGTCCAGGGGTGGAAATTCGGCCCCCAGGGAGACACATTGTTGTGTAATAATTATACCTTTACTCAGGCATATAAGGAGGATGAAAAGGAGATACGACACAGCCCCGCTCCTGTGCCTGGTAAGTCCACTACGGGCTCACCATAGCCCGTGCTACTTGCCCCGCTCCTGTGCCAGGTAAGTCCACTACGGGCTCACCATAACCCGTGCTACTTGCCCCACTCCTGTGCCAGGTAAGTCCACTACGGGCTCACCATAGCCCGTGCTACTTGCACCGCTCCTGTGCCAGGTAAGTCCACTACGGGCTCACCATAACCCGTGCTACTTGCCCCGCTCCTGTGCCAGGTAAGTCCACTACGGGCTCACCATAACCCGTGCTACTTGCCCCGCTCCTGTGCCAGGTAAGTCCACTCTGGGCTCACCATAGCCCGTGCTACTTGCCCCGCTCCTGTGCCAGGTAAGTCCACTGTGGGCTCTCCATAGCCCGTGCTACTTGCCCTGCTCCTGTGCCAGGTAAGTCCACTACCACGACCGCAATGCTCCCCACTTGATCAAATACTCTGCCTTGAACATGAAATCTGCACCTCTCTCAGAAGCAGTAAATTTTGTATTGTTCTCTACCTAGACCTTAGAGGAGCTTTTGATAGCATTCCTCATACTTGCCTCCTCGCAAAGCTTGCACGTTTAGGCGTACAAGGAAGATTACTTCTATGGTTACAGTCCTATCTTACGAACAGGACCTCTAAAGTCTATATACAAGGCGAGTTTTCTGATGGCATCCCAATACAAACGGGAGTCCCGCAAGGCTCCATACTAAGCCCAACCCTTTTTGCTGCATTCTTAGCACATTTGCCTAACACCCATCCTGTTAACCTCTCGGCGTACGCCGACGACTTAACACTGTATTATTCAGACAATGTCCTACCTAATACAGTCTCAACAATGCAAACAGCACATGAAAACCTCATAGATTGGACACAACAATGGGGCCTTCAAGTTAGTACTACCAAAACCTATTATCAAATTTTCACTAAAAAAAAGACTTGCTCATCTACTCACCCTCACAATACACAACACTCCCATCCAACTCGTACGAGAACATAAATGCCTTGGCATGCACTTAGACTCGCCCTCACTTGGAAAGCACACATTCAACACCTTAAACAGACGACACAACCCCGACTCTCCATACATAACCCCTTCACTGGCACCACCTGGGGAGCACACCATAAAATCTTGCTCTGTTTTTATACAACCTCAAAGGTTGTATAAAAAAACGAAGGAAAACATTCGCAGACAACTAGACTATTGTTGGCAAGCATATGCGTCGGCTGCGCCTACTAACCTACAGAGCCTAGTGATCATACAAAACAATGTCATGCGTCTTATATATGGCGCATAGCGTTCCACTCCTATCCTCGGACTCTACGGGGAAACTCCTATCCTCGGACTCTACGGGGAAACGGGCCTCACAAGCCTAGCCACCAGACGAGACATAACGTGTGCCAACTATCTGTCACTCTGTACCACTGCTCACCAGACACACCCATACAGATCAAAAATTAACCCACATAGCCCCCGCTTCCCAACCATTCACTCGCAACCTTTCCTCACACGGGCTACAAATAACCTCAATATAGACCTCTCTCTACTCCAGAACTCTGAAACCCAACCTCCTGTTCCCCCCATTCCACCTTGGCTTTATACAACTCCTAATACAGCAATACAACTCGAAGACAACATTCCAAAGTCTGCACCAAACTCAGCCATAGCCTCAGTCTTTGTCTCAACAATGACAAATTGCTACCCAAATACCACAGCGATTTATACAGATGGATCTCGCATCATCATGAACAACGTACCCTCGGTCACTAGCGCTGTATGGATACCGGAATACCATCTCAAGCAGGGATGGCGGTTACCAAACCAACTATCTATTTTCAAAGCTGAATTATATGTCTTATATCAAGCTCTCCAAATAATCACAACACTACCAATCGAGACATATACAGTCTGCAGTGACTCCAAGAGTGCGATTCAAGCAATTACATACTCTTCAACACCGTGCAAGGAGTTTGTTTACCCATGTCTTCAACTTCTTCATGAACATCGATTGAACGGTTATGACACCTCTATCCAATGGGTCCCAGCACATTGTGGTATTCTCCATAATGAACTAGTAGATCAACTAGCCAAAGCAATGCACAACACACCTCACATTACCCGTCATCCAATTCCCCATGTTGCACGTAAAGGAGCCTTCAAACATACCATCACCCAAGATTTCACGACGAAATGGAAAACGTGATGCTCACCCTTGTACTATGGGTCCACTAAAAAGAAATGGGAAACTTGGAAACATGTCAGATATAAAAGCAGAGAAATTGATGTAACGATGACCAGATTAAGGCTGGGACACACCACACTAGCAGCACACAGCTCTAAGTACAGAACAGACATCAACGAACTCTGCATCCACTGTCAGGTGCCTGAAACAATCGAACACTCTCTCCTTTACTGCTTCCCACATTATAGTGCCAGAGTAAATTTCAAACAAGTACTTATCTCACTTAAAATACCCTTCACCATCGAGCATATATTAGGAGGCGGTGACCACTCGTCACAAGAAAAATACCAAATAGTCAAAGCACTGGCTAAATATCTCCAGTCGACCAACAAATTGGGTCACATCTGACCCGCCCCACATTTATACCTGGCGCCACCAACAGCTGAACACAGCCAACAACTGCCTCGTCGCAGCAACAAGGATCAGCTGACGCCATAAACACAACACACCGCCCTACGGTGCGGCAAGTCTCTCTCTAACACACACCTCTGTTCTAGTCGCCGCTCTTCTGTCTACACCACAACGCAACAAACACTTTTGAAATTCTTATCATCTTCAACATAAACGCCTCTACCAACATCAGTACTGGTGCAGTCATTGGAGGACAAACCCTTCATGCAAACTGCATCTACTATCAAGAAGAAGAAGTCCACTACGGGCTCACCATAGCCCGTGCTACTTGCCCCACTCCTGTGGCTGGTAAGTCTACTACGGGCTCACCATAGCCCGTGCTACTTGCCCCGCTCCTGTGGCAGGTAAGTCCACTACGGGCTCACCATAGCCCGTGCTACTTGCCCCGCTCCCGTGCCAGGTAAGTCCACTACGGGCTCACCATAGCCCGTGCTACTTGCCCCGCTCCTGTGCCTGGTAAGTCCACTACGGGCTCACCATAGCCCGTGCTACTTGCCCCGCTCCTGTGCCTGGTAAGTCCACTACGGGCTCACCATAGCCCGTGCTACTTGCCCCGCTCCTGTGGCAGGTAAGTTCACTACGGGCTCACCATAGCCCGTGCTACTTGCCCCGCTCCCGTGCCAGGTAAGTCCACTACGGGCTCACCATAGCCCGTGCTACTTGCCCCACTCCTGTGCCAGGTAAGTCCACTACGGGCTCACCATAGCCCGTGCTACTTGCCCCGCTCCTGTGCCAGGTAAATCCACTACGGGCTCACCATAGCCCGTGCTACTTGCCCCGCTCCTGTGGCAGGTAAGTTCACTACGGGCTCACCATAGCCCGTGCTACTTGCCCCGCTCCTGTGCCTGGTAAGTCCACTACGGGCTCACCATAGCCCGTGCTACTTGCCCCGCTCCTGTGCCTGGTAAGTCCACTACGGGCTCACCATAGCCCGTGCTACTTGCCCCGCTCCTGTGCCAGGTAAGTCCACTACGGGCTCACAATAACCCGTGCTACTTGCCCCGCTCCTGTGCCAGGTAAGTCCACTACGGGCTCACCATAGCCCGTGCTACTTGCCCCACTCCTGTGTCAGGTAAGTCCACTCCGGGCTCACTATAACCCGTGCTACTTGCCCCGCTCCTGTGGCTGGTAAGTCCACTACGGGCTCACCATAGCCCGTGCTACTTGCCCCGCTCCTGTGGCAGGTAAGTCCACTACGGGCTCACCATAGCCCGTGCTACTTGAGACTTTTTTCCGAGTAGCTGAATCTAAAACAACAGGAGATACGAGACATAATTAACAGGAATTGCCAACCTTGTAGTGAAAACGCAAGGACTCGTCTTGTCATTAATTATAAGAACCCTCGTATATCTTATCCCTCATTATGACAAGTAACATCTGCGCCTCCGCTGACACAGAGGTGTGCAAGTTTAGCACTGGAGACTGTGTACTCCGAAATGTATGCTTCACTTGACATACCATGAACACTCGGAGTCTCTTACGCATGCTGCAACCCGTCCTCGACTCAAGTCCATTACATCCAGCGGTCGACCCCACAGACGCATTCATAAATTTTAACATGCTGTTCATTCAAAACAAGAATTATCTCAAATATAAATTAATATTATAATATATTAGCATATTGTGCATATATAGGCATAGGTTAGGTTAGGTTAGGTATTTAGGTTCGGTTGGTGATTATTTGCATTTGCAGGACGTGGGTGAAGCATTTATAGCAATGTGGTTCGAACAAAACTCGTCAGTGAAGCACTTGTTCCGGAAGTGTTCGAACGAAATCAGTTGTGAGTCGTGTGTAAACCGCTTTTCATTCATAAACAGGGGGTTTGGCGGGTGGATGGAATCACTTTTGGATCTTTGTTTGGAGGACGGGCTGCATAATGTCATTAAATGTCCCGTTTCAGTCAAAACCTTACAGTATAGTAGTTTAATTGGTAGAACAGACTGTCTAGTGTTGCCCCCTTTCACCATACCCCGTTTATCTTCACGTTACCGGCAACAGATAATCTAACGGAACGCACTAATCTCTGTTCCGTTAGATTATCTGTTACTGACTGGGACTTGTCTTAACTGGGGCTGTGAGAGTACAGTTAACATAGGCGTCAACTGCTCTCTCCTTGTAACTGTCAAGGCACTAACTACTGTCACTAATAACCTTA